CCTACCTTTCTCTTCTTGTCACCACCCAACTCGAAGTGCTTGCATCTCTTGATGGCCAGCATTCTCTTGGATCTGCAGTTGGGCTCCACACACTCAAGCCTCAACACAATTTTCTTTGTAGTCTTAGCCTGGAAAAATAACATATCATTCAGTCTGATTTCACACACACTGTTGCAATACCCGATGTTCTGGCTGCAACAAATGATTATTTTCAGCATTTATTAACATTTTCTTCATTAACTATAAACTGTAATTAACTGTAAAATGTCACAAATTATGCCCATTTCAGTTTCTCGGAGTGATGTTGTCCTCAAGTGTAAGGTTTTGTCCAACCAACATTTAAAATCACAAAACATGCAGATTAACATTATACTAAAGCAAAATCATAAACATTTGAGAAACATATTTCTATTTTATTTGTATAGTGCATATTTATATTCCTTTCTAGCTCTACTTGATAAGTCAGATAAAACAACATTAAAAGGGTGAGCTTACCTTTTTACGGAAAATGGGCTTCGTTTGACCACCGTACCCACTCTGCTTTCTGTCATATCTTCTCTTACCTGCACAACATTTACAGCTCAGCTACATTTCATGATACAACTCATTTAACATGCAGAGATATGCCACTTAATGTCAGTAAAAGACTAATTACCCTGTGCATAGAGGGAATCCTTTCCCTTCTTGTACTGGGTGACTTTGTGGAGCTGGTGCTTCTTACACTTCTTGCAGAAGGTTCTGCGGGTCTTCGGGACGTTCACCTTAACAATATGGAGAATAAATGTGAGGAAACATGCAATAAACCTGAAAGAATTAGGTATTTCAAATGCAGCCATTCAAACATACAATGCTGTCGAAATTAGTCTAACTACCCACCGCTTAGTTTACACCTTCCTGTAGCGAGTCTTTATGTGAAAAACCTTCTAATATAAAGTATAGACATCACCTCATAATAATCAGAAACCTGTCATTAATGGACACACTAGTCCTGAACACCAGTAAGACTAA